CCAGTTTTTGCCAGATTTTAGAGTTGAATTCCAAGAATGTGAGAGTTAATTTCAAAAATACAAATTTTCTGCGTATTCATATGAGGCACCTGGACTATATAGTCTCTGAGATCCGGGTATTCATACGTACATACAGACATAGATCGATTCGACTAGTCATGCTGATCAAAAATATATACACTTTGTGGGGTCTGCCTCTTTCATTTTTCACCTGCCGAAAACCTAATATACTCTTGTACATTTCATGCACAGAGTATAATAATGCTGAGAATTCTCAACTCGATTAATACGGCAACAATATTTAGCGTTTTGAAAAGTATTTTCCCACACATTCAGAAAGCTTTGGAATGAGGATACTTTATAAGAAAAACTTGTATTTTTATGCATTTACAGTTCCATATATAAAGTAAAGTTTCATGCATCCCCAACATTATGCTTAATGGTTACTTACAATCAGTACAATCAATACCTTTTGTAATATGCCTCCGTATTACTTGTTCCAGACATCTCCGACAAACACAGACAATTTGGATTCATCGGTAAAAATATCGCTTTGTACCCAATTCAGCGCCAATGTTCAGATGTAACACACAGAAGGATCTCACAATGTATATATATACTTGTATTCTTGATCAGGGTGACAAGCCGAGTCGATATAGCCATGTCCGTCTGTCTGTCTGCCCATCTACAAATTTATGAACGAAAGTGCAAGAGCTAGAATTATCAAACTTGTCATGCAGGTTCCCCTAAGCCCTGATATATGCCCCCCCACTCCCGCTATTGGTAATTTTCCATTACTCCCTAACTGGAATTTTAACCTTAAATTTGTCAATTATATCCCGTTAGTGATTATGTGTCCGTATGAGAGGTCAAGTTGAAAGGAAGTTATACAGGGGTGCCAAATCTCTTCCGCCCAAGATTCGCCTCAAACTTTAGGGTGTATCAAATCTAGCTTTTTTTATCAGCACTGATAAAAAGAACAACGGACATTTCAATATTTACACGTAGATTTAACTATTTTTACCATCGATTTTGCACCACCGTGTGTTTTAGTAAATATGAAGTTTGTACACTTAAATTTTAAGTCTAATATTAAGATATTAAATTTGAAGTTTGACGATATTAAATCACAAGTGATGATGTGGAGACGTGGGTTTGATTCACGCCAAAGGTTTATTTTTTGTCTACTCTATTGGTTTTTTAGCTCCTATGAATTATTTTATATTACATATATTATATTTTATTTCTGTTTTTTCTATAGAATCACTTTTAATAGAAAGTAATTTTAACATTCCACTGTTATTTTGAGTTAATTTTCTGGATGCTTTTTTATGCTTTTTAGTACGGATATAGTTTGGATCAATAGTAATATTAAGAGTGAGGAGCAGTTGATTGAATAACGCTTACTTTACACATACTTTACGACCATATACCACACAACAGCTGTAAATCGAATTGAGAATTCTAGTCAATTGAAATTTAATATATTTCTAGTATATTTAAATAAACTACAAAAAACTTCAAATTATAGTTGAGAAAATTATTATAGTTTACTATGGAATATAGTAAATTTAACTATTTGTTTTTTGAAGTGTGTGCATATTAATATTTAATATGGTTCAACATTAATGTTGCGACGCGGATGAGTATATTACATCTCATCAACGCGACGCAAACAAACATTCAATAAAATAGCTTGGCAACACATATCATACATATAAACCTGTACACCCATATTGTTTTAGCATAGATAATATTGGCACCATAGTCTACTCGCGCATACGAATTACAGGTGCATTGACACTGGCCAGCCAACATAAGCAATAATAAACAAGAATAAGACACATATTATTCTGCTACCTCAGCATAAGACCAACAATCAGGTCATAGTTTATGAACCAAATTGGGCTGACACCAGCATACGTAACCTCATAATATATGATTGGGCATCATTATTGTGAAACCGCCAACACATAGAAATAGTAAATGTAAATAGTCATAAGCTAGTTTTAAGCATGGCTATATAAGCCATGATTTGTATGATTAAAATCATTATGCAAATTATAAGCGAACGGCCTATTACTTTGGGTCAGGAACCGCTGATCTTTATCACGCCGACTACCACGTTGACTACATGCTCCCAAGGATTGCCATCCGGTATCCTTGGTCACTACAAACGTGCTGCGTCGTTTTACTCAAGCGCAACCAGGACAACCGGTGTTACTCGCATCTACTGGACAACGAGGGTCCCTTGAAGCAGCAGGGCCACAAGTGCCGTTAATTAAACGGACCACGAGTGTCCACCCAAACATCAAGCCGGACCACTAGGATCCCGCCTTGATCAACAGAAGGACAATAAGCGTCCTTTAGCTTAACTCGTCAGGACCACAATCGTCCTGCCGATTCGCACTACTGCACGTGTGCGAATAAACAATTAAATTATATATGACACACTTTAATAACGAAGTGTTACACTTTGTTTTGAATATTCATAAAATCACCAATTGAACATGTTTTTAGTAAAAATTTACGATGTTTATATTTGATTTCAATATGAAATAGCAGAACATTAAATTTGATATGAAAATATTCATCTGCACTATACAACTTTTTTATCAGTGATGAGTTTAGATTAAGAACGCTAACAAAGACATTTTTCATCATAAAAAAATCAAAACTTTGTGGTTTTTCTGAACAATCTTCATCAAAGTTACTTTGCATATCCTATATGTAAATACTATTAAATTAGCAAATTACTAAATGTATACTTAAAACACTAGCATTCACACCCAGCATCCGAAAAATCCGCACAATAGGGATGCCCCTTTGGCTCAAATACAAAATTAAATTTTTCGAACATAACATTTTGCTGAGTAAAGTCTTGTTTTGTGCGTCAAACAAAATTCAAAAATATAATTTATATTTGACGAAATTCTTTATTCAAATAAGTACCAAAAAACTGTGTATTTATTAAACAAAGTTGGGAAAAATTGTGTGTCGCCGATTGGGAAGGTCTGTTTGTTAGCGACCACCTCGGTTTGCTGTAATATTGTAAATATTGCAATTATTTTATAGCTTTCAACTATATTTCGTACGTAAAATTAGAAAATGTATCTGAAACTTAAAGGAAACTTGTTTATTAAGGAAGTTTTCTTTTTAAATTAATTTTTTGAATATTTTATGTGAAACATGTGAATTTTTAGATATTAAATTAAAGGCAGGTAAATGATCATTTTTGTAAAAGTACAAACATGTACATATGTATGTGTAATCATCCCTTAAACAGAAATATACATACATAAGTCATGGAAAGTTGCACTATCAATCTAGCCCTACCAATAAATTGACTCGTAGGTTTAGCAATTTTTACGGCGCCGTGGCTTAAACAACAACAGTATCAGTGCATTCAGCAAAGAATAACAGAAATCAGTTGTTCGTGGTGAATGCGCCCAATGCTATTCAGCACACAATTAATTTCTAATCACTTGTTGTCTTAACCCTTCATAAATAAAAATATGTTATATTTTAATTATTCTTTATATTGGATTCAAACTTCGATGAAACTATTGATGGATTCATACAAAACTGTCGAAAACACCGATTAGCTATCGAAAGCTATTATGCTCTATTCAGGCCCGCCACTTTTATATCCATTATAGGTATTAAATACCAGCAAATTACAAAACAAATAGCATTAATCAGTGTGACCAATATTTATTATGATTTCATTTAAGCAGGAACACAGTTTACACCTAAAATTATTATAATTTTTGTTTTAAAGTAATTTAGTTTTTGTGACTAAGAAAAATATGTCGCCAATATAAACAAAAAAAAAAACGCGTTTACAAGCGTTGCAAGCAAAATAATGATATTGAGATGAACGAATTAAGCAAAAACAGCGCCACGTAGCACTAAGAGACTTAAGTATCCGCGATAAATTTATAAAGCTCGCTTGATGACTTCAATATTTAAAATAAATAAATAAATAAAAAATTAATTCATGTTATCTCTAAAGATCAGGCCAATAAAGCACATATCGAATACCGAGATCGAACACGCACAACATCTTCATCTTTCTTTGCGCTATTTATTCTTAAGTTTAATGAGAAATAGAGTTTTACTTTTATATATATGGAACAACTTTTTACCATTTGTCGCTTTATTTCATATGTATTTATGCACCACATAAACTGTAATCTATTATAAATAAAGAAAGGAATAATTTTCTACAATCTCGTCTACTGATGGACGATGCAACTGGTACCAGACCTGCGAAATTGCGATATTGCTTGCTATTTTTTCTATAAGTTTTATTAGATTAATCGATTCTCCAAACAAACTGAATATATGTAGAACATCGATTCTGAGTCGATTCAGCGTGTAGTTCTAATTGTACAGTATACAATCGATTAATCCCAATGATCTTCGTTTTCACTCTGTTTAAAATAATACAAATTGTGTATCAGTCAGCTGAAAACCCCCTTGTAAATATGGATTAGTTGAAGTTCGCACCTCAATTTCATTTCGATTTATCATAATCATCAGACGATCTATCAATCATTGAATTATTAATTTAATATTCGAAAACAATTTTTATTTTATTATTAAGTGCTTTTATACATAAAATCCTTTTTTCTTTATTCTTTCAATTACAAACTTATATATAAATATATATAATATACTAAAATTTTCATGTTTTAAACTGGGGAAAAATGTCGCAGATATTTTCCGGGGAACAGTGACATACGATCATATGCTATACTTTTTCATATTTAAGACTAGTGTCCAATAATTATATAATACTATAATTTGTCTTGCTCTTATATATATCTAGATTATATTTGCAGGTAGAAGCAAGATAGAATTAATGTGTACATAAGTATAAAGCGATAGACTTTTTCTATTTACTTAGAAGCAACTCTGGCATTGGAATCTAATCCATCCCTGGACGATAGGTATCATTGAATCAAATTAAGTTAGGTTGTTCTTTATTAAATGTGTTCTATAACTATTACTATACTTCGGTCCGAATAAAATCAGGGTGTGTTTAGAACTGATTTAACTGAAACATACAAATTATTTAATTCGACACCGTACGCGCGGAGAGTTTAGCGTCGTCTAATGAAAAAATAATGTGAAGTTTGGGACTTGCCGTGCATGTCAATGTACGTACATATAGTATGTATGTATTTAATATGGTATGGTAAACATGAAGACCCAAAAGTGGATACTTAGACTTGGTATGTAAAAAGGTTTTTATGTAAAAAAATAAATGCGTGGAATTATATTCTGATTTTATGAACACTTTAAATTCTTGATAGTTGATAAAAATTTAAATGTTTGTTGTAATATTCATACCGGGGAAAAGTGGTTTTATATACTTTAAATTTGGTTTCAATAAAGTCGAAGTACATTCGTAAACACTACATCCATGTTCCATTCATTATAAGGCCTTAGCATAAACTTTTAATTTTCCGTGTTCCAACTGTCACCAAAGTGTCCCTCTATCTGAGATTTGGTTTAGATGTAAGAAAATTTGCTTAAAACAGTGTCGTATGTGCCCTCCAGTAAAGAAATTAAAATGGAATGCAATACTAATATTATCGTTTATATTCATATGTACTAGCAAACATATACATAGTTATATTATAACAAATGTTTTCAATACATGTATGTGTATATCTGTATATTATTTACATATACCTAATTTATATCAATTTTGAATTTAATCGAAGTTTCAAGTATATACTGTATGAAGCAATGAGAGAAATTCGAAATTTTTGGTGTGGTTTTCTTTATTGGCAATACACTACAGTATTTATATAAGTGGACTTAATTTTTTTCCCCCTTTTTTAACACCTATTTCCCGAAAGAATGCCAACAGTTCTCGAAAACTTTAATGCTGGGAGTATTATTGCTTGTATGTGGGTTTGTCAAATATAGCGCAGAATTTTCTCCTTTAACTTATGAAAATATATGTTTATACGGTGAGCTTGAGCTTGAATAACGCGACAAGGACCTGACAGTTGGTTTTAATTAAGGTGATGTTTATATCTCGAATGGAATAGTATATTTGTATTCATAGTTCTTGGATTTTCAGTAAATTTGGTTACTATTTCTGCTCCTTATATTTATTTTTATTGCCTTTTATGTGGAGGTCCTAGGTGTCATAGTCTTTATAGGTTTACGCAGAAATTAAAAGTTTGTCCAACGATGTACCCCACAATTGAAAGCTTTGCGGCTGTAAAAGCCTAATCATAACACGGCTTGTTCACCATTTTTGTATATTCGTACTTTTGACCCAGCAAAATCAGATGAAACCTAAAATAGCAAATGCTACCGTAAACTTGAGCTATAATCTACTTGTATATTTGCCTATTATGTTTTTCCCGCAGAATGTAAATTAACAAAGTCGAAACCAATATGAATTTTCATAGTACTAATCTACACGATATTAATAGATAATTAAAAGGCTACATTGGAAATGTACTAAAGAGAGAGTAAATTAATTTATAGAAGCAGAATAACTAAACTTTATATCCCGATTCTCCTAAGCCTGAGAAAATACACTGTGAATTTTTTCTGCCGCACCTTTTACTCCCCCACTGTTAGTGATTTTCCATAACTCCCGTAATTCTTGGAGTTTTTAACAAATTTGGTAATTACATCCCGTTAGTGCTTATGCGTCCTCGTTTTCATCATGATAGGTCAAATATAAAAGAAGTTATATAAGTTAATCTCTGCCTCCACCTGTTGTTGTTGCTGCTTTAGTTTAGCTCTGCACTCCACAAATGCACAATATTGGAGTAAATGTATTCTATTGAAACTGTACATGAATGTATTTTTATAGCTTGTACCCAAAGGGTGAAAGGCTATACTAATGTATGTAACACACACATGGAGGCGTGGGAGACCCCACAAAGTATATATATTATTGATCAGGATGACAAGACAAGTCGATATAGCCATGCCCGTCCGTCCGTTTGTCTGTATGAGCGCAAGGATCTCAGGAAGTACAAGTGCTAGAATAACCAAACTAGGTATCGAGGTTCCCTTAAGTCCTAGGCAGGTCAAGTGTACAGGCTATTTTACTGTCGGGCTTGCTCGACTGTAGCGTTTTCTCTTGTTTAATTTTGGAGCAGACTCTTGCGATTTCATATCTCCACCAGAAAATGGGATAATGTAGGCTTCTTCTCAATCGTGCAAAACATCGCAACATTTTTACTGGCCGTGTATACGTCCAAGTATTCTGGTTGACTGGATATGAATTCAAATGTCAACGATTGATCCAATCAATCTATCGCCCACGCGTTAAACTCAATTAAAACCAGCCGTTGACTTAGACGGATGGCGACTTAGTCATCAGCTAGTTCATCAATTGCTGTGATATATTCCTATGCGACCAGCTTGAGGGTCTCCCTAGGTCTTATAGTCTCCGGGATATAGGTGATTATACGAATGGAAAATCCGGAAAACCTCAATAGGGGGAAGTGGGGCAAAATCAATCAGACATACAAGTACAATCCCCCTACGGGGGATGTTCGCAAATACCATTCGTATAATCTTATTTATCTCGGAGACTATAAGACCTAGGAGCATCAAATTTTAGTCCCAGATGAACTATGTGAATACGCAGAAAATGTGTATTTTGGAATTTTCCTCCCTCCCCCTCTCCCGCACAAACCTTACGTAATTCTTGGAATTTCTAACTGAAACTAAATATTTTTTATTTCTATAATTATTCTACACATATGTACAGAGTATTTCCGAGTTGGGACACCTGACTTTAGCTTCTATACTTGTTTTTTGTAAATCTTTAATCTTTATTTAAGATCTGTCCTATGTTGGGCAATTATTAAACTTTATTATATCTATGCCATTTTTAAGGAGGCGTGGCAGACCCCACAAAATATATATTATGGGTGACATGCCATGTCTGGTTAATAAGTGAAAACAACCAAAATTTCTTGCATAAATTTCACATTGGTTGGATGCATAAGATTGTCCACTGAGCCATCCATCCAGACGCACAAGTAGAAGATCGATCGCGAGCGAGCTTAAAAAAACAAAATACAAAGGCACAAGCAGATTGATGCAAAATCAAAATACACGTAGTGCGTCTGTTGTTGCTCGATTTTCAATAGCATTTACTCAGAACTCTACCGGTGATTTTTGTTGTAGGTGTTAGTATAGGGCTCTCGATTTGAAATTTCGTGCCCACCGCAGGTTCAGAGCATTAAGAACCATCTGTTTAGAGCAACATAGCCAAGTTTAAATAGCTTTTGCAATTACCTATAGTTGTTTAGAATGCTCTTCTGAACAAATTGAATCGAAATATTGTTTATTAAGCAAAAACAGTAAAATCTTACTTTAATTTTGGAAAAATAATTTTAAACAAGAAAGGAATGCTAAAGTCGAGCAGGCTCAACTCTCAAATACCCTGTACCACCCCACAAAAAAGAAATTAAATTAATTAATTAATTAACTAAATTAATTTAATTAAATTAATTAACTAAATTAATTTAATTAATTAACTAAAATATAAAATATTCCATGCATGCATACATACATTTACATCAGAATCGTGCCTTATGCGTGTTTGTGTACTTGTACATATGTATGTATGTGTACATTGAGCCTGGTTATATGGCTATAACTTTCTGATCAACCTATCATAATGAAACTTGGTATACGGATATATAATTACTAACTGGATGTGTCTACCAAATTTTAGTTTAAAATTCCAAGAATTACGGGAGTTATAGAAAATCGTTAATAGGGGGGAGTGGGGGGGTGGATCAGAAAAAATGAACAAACTCATCCTTTCTTGGGCTCAGGAGAATCTGTATACCAAGTTTGGTTATTCTAGCTCTTATACTTTCGGAGATCCTTGCGTTCATACAGACGGACAGACGGACATGGCTATATCGATTCGGCTTGTCATGCTGATCAAGAATATATATACTTTGTGGGGTCTACCAAGCCTCCTTCTGTGATTTCCATGTGCACTCGCACAAAACTAATATACCCTTGTACCCTTTGGGTACAGGGTATAAAAACTAAAAAGAATCAACAAAGTTTAAAATTGTTTCCATTCAAATGCCGAACAAAAAACACACTACTCATGTAAAAAATGGTAATCTTCATACATTTGTACATATGTATGTATGTCATGTCATGAGAATCTTCTCGAACACATGGAAACATTTTAGATACACAGAGCAAAATTTTAAATCGTTCACATGGGACGGAAATCAACTTTCCGTTATATTTCAAAGAGGAAATAGATAATTAAAATTATATATTTCTGCAGTGCACCATGTTTAATCTTTGAAATTGCATTGAAAATTGTCTAATCTATATATATAAAACAGTTTGTCCTGACTGACTGATTGGTGATCAACGCACAGCCCAAACGGTAAAAGCTAGAAAGCTGAAATTTGGACTCAATGGAAATCGAGCTCCAAAGTTTGTATGAACAAGATAGAACGCTACAGTCGAGCAAGCCCGACAGTAAAATAGCCTGTACTCTCCACAAAAAGGAAAAATTAAAAAAAAATTAAATTATTAAAAAAAATGAATGAATTAATTTAATTAAATTAGAATACATGTTTATGTTCAGTTTAAACAGCATACATTTACATCACGTACCTATGCGTGTTCATATGCGTGTATGTATGCAGCACAAAGTTGAACAAAAGCAGCAACAACAACAACAGCTGCGGGCAGCGCTGCCGACAGAGCTGCAGGCAGCGCATGAGCAGCGATTTTACTTATGGCTATAACTTTCTTCAGAATTGACCTATCATGATGAAATTTGGCACACGGACACATTAGTACTAACTGGATGTACCTAAAAATACGAATTGCGGGGGAGTGGGGGGGTGTATCAGAAAAAATAAACAAACTCGTTCTGCCTAGGGCTTATAGGAACCTTGATACCAATTTTGGTTATCCTAGCTCTTGTACTTACTGAGATCCTTGCGCTCATACAGACAGACGGTCAGACGGACATGGCTATATCGACTCGTCTTCTCATCCTGATCAAGAATATATATACTTTGTGGGGTCTGCCACGCCTCCTTCTGTGTGTTACATACATGCGCACAAAACTAGTATAGCCTTTCACCCTTTGGGTACAGGCTATAAAAATCTACAATTTACATCTAATTATCTTCAACTTTGTATACACCCAGAAAAAAACCAAGTAAAACTGGTTACTTTGTTTTTTGACATTTTT